TGTGTGTGTGTGTGTGTGTGTGTGTGTGTGTGTGTGTGTGTGTGTGTATATATATATGTAGTAAATAGATAGACCAATAGATAGAAAGATAGATAGAAAGATAGATAGATAGATGGATAGATAGATAGATAGATGATAGAAAAAAGTATGGATACATACACATTTATATATGTATGTATATGTAATGAACATATGTAATGGGTATATATATATATATATATATATATATATATATAATGAGTATATATAATGAATAAGTATATAATTAGTGCATATATAGAGCGGGAGTATATATTATACTATGATTCATTTTAAATTTTAAAAAGCATGTTTCAAAAATGTTTGCTCATAAATTCAAAGAGCAAAATGTCAACACACATGTCTATAAACACCTGCTAAAAATATAAACATTATGTAATAGATGAAGTCCTTAAGGATGTTTGGCAATATAGTTTAGTATTCCCTAAAGAATGTGTGTAGTTTAAATAAACCTTATCAAAAGAACTATAATAATAACTGAGAAAAATGATGATACTTGATTGTACTCCATACTTATCTTTGCTTAGACTAGCTCCTTAAAATAGAAGTCAATATACTTAGATCTTAATAAGTGAGGTGATGAATTTACCTAAAATTATGGACTCATTTTGAAATAACTTAAATCTGAATCTCAAAATCTAGAAGACCTCTTTCCATTACCTAAAGACATTAATTAACAACAGTAACATATTCTGAGCATTAAATATTTGCCATACATAGCTACTACATTTTAAACCTAATTTCAGTAGTTCCAAAGTCATACAGCACTGTGTACCAGTCCGGCCATTAGGAAGTGGAGCAATCCTCTCAGGGGGAAGTGAGGATTATTATAGAAAAACTGGAATAGAAGACTCAGAGACAAATGCTAGAAATCAGGAGAGCTGCAAATCTCCTTCAGCTCCTTCAGTCCTTCCCGTAAGTCTTCCATTGGGATCTGCGCGCTCAGTCCTATGTTTGAGTGCATATATCCATACCTGTAATTGGTCAGGTGCTGGCAGAACCTCTCAGGGGACAGCTATACCTGGCTCCTGTCAGCAAGCACTTCTTGGCATCAGCAATAGTGTCTGGGTTTGGTGTCTGCATTGAGATAGATCCCTAGATGGGGCGGTCTCTGGATGGCCTTTCCTTAAGTCTCTCGACCCCATAGGAAGAACAACAGGATCAACTAACTGAAACCCACCCCGCCAGAGCCCCTAGTGACTAAACCACCAAACAAAGAGTATACATGGAGGGACCCATGGCTTCAGCTGCATATGTAGAAGAGGATTGCCTTATCTGGCACCAATAGGAGAAAAGGCTCTTTGTCCTGTGAAGGCTCAATGCTCCAGCATAGGGGATGCTAGGGCAGGGAGACAGGAGTGGGTAGGAGGGCAGGTGAGTATCCTCATAGAGACAGGGGGAGGGATAAAATAGGGGGATTGTGGAGGGGAAACTGGGAAGGGGAACAACATTTGAAATGTAAATAAGTAAAAAATTATTAGTATAAAATGGAAGAAGAAGAAGAGGAAGAGGGAGAGGGAGAAGGGGGAGGAGGAAAAAAAGAAATCAGGAGAGCTGTCCAGTCAGTACTGCAGCAGCCTTGAGTTCAATTCTTTTAGGCTTTATATACTTTACAGTATCGTGGGAAACAAAGTCACAAACCTGCAGAGACAATGGTTGATGTACAATTGATATCTGTTCCTATCTAGAGGTCTTCTTATTCATTCTCCTTCCAAGTTTAACAAAACATTCAGCCCCTTGCCTTGAGCTTCAAGAGTATCCCCTCTTATCGTCCTATGTGTCATCCAGCCAGGAAATCTGCCAGTAAACCCTGGCCTGACTTGATT